TAACAATATGAAATCATATAATCATAACCGTGATCACAATACCAAGGTTGATCCACCCAGGGTCCAATAGTAATAATATTATCAATAGTAGTTATTATAGATTTCTAATTAACCGATTTCATGTTTGTGGATGACGTTTTGATCCACGGATCCTCAGTCCCTTTCCATTTTCAAATGTGCCGCGCAGTGCGTCACGGCGCTGCGCCCCAGCCCACCCTGGCACAGTGAGCCGTGTTTGGATACGGCAGAGCGCACTCGCCTGTGTTGTGGTGACACCGGACGGATATGCGGCGATGCTCTTGCGTGTGAAAGCGTCTTCGGCGCTCTCTAAGCAGCTACGGGGAGATTTCGCCTCGGATGAGAGATTAGGACTCGGAGGAGAAGCGGGAGGAGGAGGAGCGACCATCACCAGGGGAAGAACAAAAGCAAATCACGGGATCTTTTGGTCCATCGCGTCCACTCGGTGGTGGCGGCGGCGGCCCGTCGAGTCTGTGAGGAAGCCGGGGGCTGGATTTGACTCTCGCAGGGATGTGCTGGTGAGTCGGCTGGTGCAGCAGCAGAGCTCGTGCTGAGCCAGGAATGAAAGATATGAATGGATGAAGGAACGCCCTGTGTGGATGACAGGAGGAGGTTTGCAGGCGGAGATGCTGTAGAATACATTTCACTGACATGTTATGGAAGCCAAACACTGGCCATGATTGCCCGCATAGGCCTAACGACAGATGCTGATAGGCTAATCACCTAGTCGGGAAGCTATCTGTGCTGATAAGCATGGAGGTGCTGGTCTGTTTTTATTATTATAGCCATGGATTCATGTTTCCTGTGTGATGAGATCCTGCAGCATCCATCCATCCAGTCCAGTCTCAGCAGACCTGCATATGTAATTGTTTGGACAAACTGGGAGCTGTGATGTTGGATTAATTTGATCCGCAGGCATCAGCCTCTCCTCCATCTACGCCCTGTGTAATGTCACTGCTGAAAATAAGCCATTCTAAATAAAGCAGCAAACATGACATTTGTTTGTAGCTGCTTGTCATTCCCAGGGCTTATTTTAGCTTACAGTGGACTACACAGCAGCAGCACTGAGACAAATCTGCTGCTGCACTGTCACTCACTCCTCTTCTTCTTCTTTCAGAAAGCTTGATGATGAAAGGAGGAAGAGGAGGAGAGAGGTGGAGTGAGCACTCAACAGTGCAGATCTGTTTTTAATCAGCCCCTTTTTTTAAATCAGGTACATCCAAACTGATGTGATGCAATGATAAGAAGAAAAAGCAGCGATTGTAATAACCAAGTGTTCATTTTCTTCTTTCCTCACAGGGACATCTATGGTCAGGAGGTGATGGCGGCGCTGACTGAGCTTCACCACTACTGTTACCCCTTCCCACAGATGGACACCCACCACCTGCACGCCTGAGCCTGCACCCAGCACTGTCTCCCCCCCTCTCCTTCTGCCTCTCCTCACTCATTTCTTACCTCTCCCTCCAGCCACCACTTGCTTTCCCCCCATCATTCCTCCTCCTGTCCCTCCATCCAATTTCCTCCATCTGGATTTTTGCTGTATCCCTGCGATCTTACTTTATTATGGCGTACTGCGGCCGCTCTCTGGACTCCCCGTGCACGCTGGCCCTGCTGGTGGGCTTCCAGTTTGCCTTTGTCCTCTATTTCTCCCTCGGGGGCTTCAGGGGCCTGGTATCCGTCCTGGTGCACACCACTGAGCCGGAGTTTGATTACTCTCGACCTCATGACGTCTACACCAACCTCAGTCATCTGGGCGCTCCGCCTCCCCCGCCTCGCAACTCGGGCACTGGACCCCCTGTCACAGGACCGCCGCTGAGAGACTGCCAGATCCCTTCCCCACTGCTGGGTGAGAGAGTGAGGGGTTTACATATGTGCTGGTATACTGAGTGTATAACATACACACGCAGTAAAAAGGCACAGTGTGGTTAGTGTGGTTGCTGTTGACAATATCATTGAAGCTTCCTCTCCTCTCCTCTCCTCCCCAGTCGGACCCGTGTCTGTCCATCTTTCCTCTCCTCTTTCTCTGGAGGAGATCAGACAGAGGAATCCATTAGTGTTGCCAGGCGGACGCTACCGTCCTCCGGACTGTGAACCCCGCCATCACACAGCGATAGTGGTGCCGTACCGGAACCGGCAGACCCACCTCCGCGCGCTGCTCTACCACCTCCACCCCTTCCTGCAGAGACAACAGATCCACTACAGCATCTACATAGTGCAGCAGGTCAGGTTGTGATTGAGTGTTTGTGGCTGATGTGGCTTTTGATAGCACTTTTGTCTCTCTCCAAAAGTGCAAAACCAGACTGTTGTGCTGGTCTATTGTTGGTATATTTCTCATGTAATACTAATGGAGTAATTAGTGATACACTGGGATAATACTTGTAGTACTGGAGTATTACTGGATTAATAATTGCTGTAACATCTGTGTATTACCAGAGTAATCTTTGCATAATACTGATAAATCTACTGTATAACCAGAATGTTACTGGCAAATTTAACATTGCTGTACAAAAGATATCAATCAAGTAATGCGAAGTAATGCAAACATCTGATTTAAATGGTCATTTCACCTAAATAAAACACAGCCACACACATAGTTTTGGTTTTATTTGCTGAGATTTTGAAGTATGTGCATTTGCTGCCGTACAAATTCTGGAAAATCACACATCCACTTTGCTTGTGTCATTATTCAGTGACTACATTGTACAAACAATCAGCTGTTGTTCTGCAGTGTCCCACCATGTAGGTAACCCTAAGCCAGTTGTAACTGAGCACTGAACCCACGCTGTGCTTGTTTCAGAATTCATATTTTGTGTGTCAGTAAATGCCAAACTCTACTTCTTGCTTCAGTGGGGGAACGGTACTTTTAACCGAGCCAAGCTGCTCAACGTCGGGGTGCGGGAGGCCCTCAGAGACGAAGACTGGAGCTGTATCTTCCTCCACGACGTCGACCTGCTGCCCGAGAACGACCACAACACCTACACCTGCCACAAACAGTTCCCCACACACCTGTCTGTGGCCATGGACAAGTTCAGATACAGGTAACAGTGCAGAGCGAGCGTGTGTGTTTGTGTTAAACAGACAGGACTCCGTTTTCTGTTTGGCGACTTTATTCTCTGTGGGGCCGTCTTATGTTTTTGCAGCTGGACTTCACACATGTGCATCAACACTGATTCACCACACTGCTGTAAAGCGGACTGATGCCGTTTAGTGTCACTCAAAAATACAAATAGCATTTTCCTCTGTAACAGCAACAGTAAAAACAAAAAAAATGGTTAAATAATGCACAACATTTCTTTATAACATACATACCATATGCCATTAAGAAAGAAAAAAGTGAGGATGTTCTTGAAATGAGTAACCACAGTGCTCACAGCCACACAAAAAAAGTTAAAGCAAAAGTTAAATAAATATTCCTAGGCTGCAACAGATGAACTTATAGAAGTGCTCTGTGCTGAGACGTTAACTCTATGCGTTGGTGATGTGACTCTCCCAGGCTGCCGTACCCGCAGTATTTTGGCGGCGTGTCTGCAGTGACCCCAGACCAGTACATGAAGATGAATGGTTTCCCCAACCTGTACTGGGGCTGGGGTGGAGAGGATGACGACATCGCTGCCAGGTGAGGAGCGAGAGCGTGTCCGAGGACCACACCCTGCAGCCACATGCTTGTTCTCTTTTCTCCATCTTTTGCATGACTCATTCATCTTTTTCCCCCCTCATGTTTACAGTTTCATTGCCTCTGACTTTCCCTTTTCTTTGACTTTTGTTATTTCATGTGTCCTAACATCATCTTTCATCTTCTCTTCCCCTCCCACTGCTGTGGCTTTGCTGTGTGTCTCAGTGTGTGTTGGCATGGACGAGCTCGCAGATTGGGACTGGGCTGCATGCTTTAAGGGTTTTACAGGCAGGTTTCAGGCTCCTCTCACGTTTGCTGTGGTCCCCTCTCTCCACTCTCTGGCTTCTCTAGCATTTGCCGATCTGTTGCAAGAGGAATGTAACTGGGAACTGAAAATCCAAAAGCTTGCCAAGTTTCACTGTTTCTCCTGTACTGCCAATAACATCCTATGATGCATTAAAAGTGATCATATGGACATTAACAGCATTAGTTACATGTTCCAATGAACTCAGATGGGGTGGTACACCAGCACCAGAGATGGAAAAAGGAAACCACAGTCTTTTCCACCGCCTATAGGCCATGAAAGTATGTTATTCCCATACGTCACTCACAATTCTGTCTGTTGCCTTTACTTTCTGTGTTTTGCTTTTATCCCTTAGAGGATGAAAGTACTCAGATTGGATAGCATTATTGCTCAGAGTGATTGCAAATATTAGGAATAGTTATTCTCTTGGCTTGTTCCTCCAGTGTTGTCCAATCCTGACTGTGAGACTGAGTTTTCTCTCTCGTTGTGTGCTGCCTATCCAGAGTGCGTCTCTCTGGCATGAAGATTGTGCGTCCCCCAGTGGCCATTGGTCATTACAAGATGATCAAGCACAAAGGAGACAGAGGCAATGAGCAGAATCCACGCAGGTACCGATGCAGTCTTACAAAGATTTTGTGATTTTGATCTGAATATCTGGTGTATCTACTTCTTCAATGGAATGTTTTTGAAATCACATTTAACATAGAAATAGTCACTCACTTTGTGCTTCTAACATTTAGCTGAGGTTTATTCCCAGTGCTGGCGACATCTTAAGCTTTTACAATAACTGTTGTTTCTTTTTTGTTGACCTGCTGTTTTGTATGGGGTTGTGTTTTTCCTCTGCTCGCTCTGTGGTGCCAACAATTTCTGCAACCTCAGGCAGCACTTACTTATTTTCTGATGAACATTATTTTCTTTTTCATATCTATAACGCTCTGAAAAGATTGTCTAGATAACAGAAACAAGCATCTGTGAGGAGCATTTTAGGCCCCGAGGCGGCTTCTTCAAGTTTCTTCAAAACTTGCCTATCAGTAACCACAAGGGTCACTAATTAATAAATTATATTTTCTATTTAGTATAATACAAAAAAAAAGATAGGATTGAACAAAATTGTCATTTTAAGAGATTCAGCTGCACCTAATACTTGGATTTGTGTTTTCAACCTTTGGATATCAAAAGGCTAGCGTCCCCTTGCCTCCAGTCTTTATGCTAAGCTAGGTTAACTGCTTCCTGTTTCCTGGCTGTAGCTTGTGGTATTAGTTTTCTCTTATGCAATTCCTGGCAAAAACAGTATGTTGAGAAATTTACAATTATGTCAAACTATCCCTTTAAAGTTTCACACACACACACACACACACACACAAAAACCTGTGTCATTATGTTCGTCTCTCTAGGTTTGACCTCCTGAAAAGGACCAGACTGAACTGGCGCTCTGACGGCCTCAACTCTCTGACCTACGAGCTCCTTTCCAAAGAGCTGGAGCCTCTCTACACCAACCTCACCGTCAACATTGGAGAAGACCCCCGCCTGCCGCAGGGGAAGGCACCCATCCCCGTTAAGGCAACAACCCCCGTCCACCAACGCAGCACCAGCATGAATGAGGGCACAGCCAAGAAGGAGGAGAAGAGACGACAGGGCAAAGGGTCCGTGGTGGAAAATTCGATCAAGATATTGGGTGAAAAGACAAAACCTGCGCAGTCAAAAGCAGCAAATCAAACAACACACAAGGAAACTGGTGCGATGACATAGGAAGGGGTGTGTGACACAGAGACTGCGTCACATCTGTAGCATAAAGTGGCTTCCCTCTTCATTCTGGATCTGAAAGACCAAACGGAGGATGCTGCTGTGCTGTGGGACTTCAAGTACACCAGCTTTTGGTGCTCAGTGCAGGTTAGCGATAGTTATGCAATGGATCCAATGAAGCAGCCACTTTTGTCTACAGGGGTGAATTCAGGAGGACGACTCTCGGTTCGACATCCGCTGAATGTTACTTGCGACTGTTGCAAAAATCTGTCAGACTCATATCCGGGAGGAGAATAGTGTCCGACACAGTCACATCCACATTGAGGGCCAAAACCGACGAAAATGAAAAACAAAACAAAGAACGAGACAAACACACAAATCTCCGCCCTTTTCTGGACATCACAACCCGTACGACACCCGTCTGCCGCCAACAGACCTGCAGCTTCATCAAGTCCGCTGCCAAAAAACTGCCGCTGTCAGTCCGCCCCACTCGTCCAGAGTGGGTTTGTGTTTCTGTGCCTTCTATCTTTAATGCGCATTTTATAGACTGGTAGAGTTGCTTTTAGATGCTGACCTGGGGTTAATTTTACCTCTCCAGACCGCCAGGGAGGTTGAAGCTGATCCTAGACCAGAACAAATGATTTGTTCCAGGACTGCCGTTTTATATCTGTGTGCATCGATCAAGCGTTGACCAACTCCATAGTCATCAGACGATTCTAGAGTTTATATTTATATAGAGACTTCTTTATTTGTTTACTGGTTTGTTTTACTCGTCCTTCCCTACAGTCTGGTGCCTCTCTCGCTCTCTCTCTCTCTCTCTCTCTCTCGCTATCTTACATTTAGTTTATAGACAATCAAAAGATAGCTCTGTATTCAGCCACATAACAAAGTGAGGAAATATCATGACTATCTTCACGCCCGTCAGATAAACATAGACTTGGCATGATAGCTGTTGTCCTAGTTTGACTATACTCTTTATACATGGATAGACCCGTGCGTCTGATATTACCTGTGCTTTTATAATTTTATCTTTTAGATACTGTAAGTCAGGTATGGGGGGGGAGAAAAAATATATATTGTGGGCGTGTGACTAAACGTTCGCCGGTGTCAAATTGTGTTTTAATAACAAACGTGTTCATAGTTACGATGAAGCACTGTGTATAGATCTGAGCGTCGGACCAGGAGGCCTGGGCTCAGTGCGTCTGTAAGCTATAAGATGAGTGTGTCCACACAAGGACGATGAAAAGAAATAATTTTTATTACAAGGAGGACACCAAATCAGAACTTATAACATATAACATGTAAGGTGGTTTGTGTAAACACCTCCATTATCATCTATCCTGTGATATAAAAGCCACTTAATCACTCCGTCATTGATTCTATTTATCATATCAGCCATTCAGAATGTGTTTTTTTAATAGTCCCTCCTCGTTCAGTGTCGTGAAGGGTTTTCTTATTCGTTTGTTGTCGGGGGGCTTGAATCTGATCACTGTTAGGATGTAGAATCTCTTGCTGCTATATGACTCTAGGGGAAGTGTACAACTAAAAAGCTTGAAAGATAACATATTGTAACATGGTGTGGAATTGTTTGCTCATGCTATCATGTAATGAATGTATTGATTTTATTTTATTTATTTAGTGCGTCACTGATAGAGCTGAATGCAGTGATGTTGCAGTGCGGATGTGTTTTTAGGGCTCGAAACACCGTTCTAAATCGTAGAGCTGATTATTACCCATTTCTACCACATCCTTACGTCAACTTTGTGCCTCATGAACTAACTAAGCGCTGCAGGCATACTGCTGGGTGATGTGTGAGCACCCTCAAGTGGTACAGACTGGTGTTTCGCCAGCTTGGAGAAAGCGAGGACTGAATGAAACTGCAGTGTTGTGACATGAATGTTAATTGGCCATTCACAGGTTTCAGCCAATCAAATGTTTGCACTGCTCTGCGTTTGTGTCGTGTCACATGTTTGATCCTGCTCCCAATCTTAAAGGTGTAGAACAACACTCTGATTTTACTGGTTAAAAAAAGAAAATTCATGGCATGTGTTTTATGAATGGATATAGTTTTATAGACGGAATCTATGTTTATTTATGGAGACATATTACCTGTTTCAAAAAAGTGCTGTACAAACAGATTGTCTTGAGAGTATATAAGAAATGAGACAATAAGACAGAATTTCTTAGCTTTATACTGCATAACTATTGAGTTGCATATCAACAGATATATATCCTCCATTCCTCATATCGCCTGGGACAATGCCTGTATGACATGGAGCAGTGAGAAAGCTTTTAATGGTGTTGTGTAATCTCAGCAGATTAATCAGCAACCTGTGTGCTTACCTAGAGATTGTTACTATATTTAATAAATAGGCTAGTTTTTATAAAGTCATGCAAGTTTGGGAAATAAACACTGTGTAGTTAAATGGAGACAATAAACAGGATTGGGACTACATGTTTTTTAATTCATTTAAAAAGGTGATTTTGTCATCAATTCATTTTGTGAATAATGTTATTTTATAATGTTTATTATATCACTTGTAAGGAAGTACTTTACACTGAAAAATGTATTTACCAACTTAAGAAATTACTTCAACTGGTAACATACACATATCAATATAATTATTTCCATCAGTTATCAGTTGTCTTTTTTAAGTGCTTTTTTCCTGAAAAACCAAAAAAAATTACTTCAATTAGTAACGCACAAATAGAAAAGTTAAAATTCTTCCCAAAAAAATGCATTACAGGTCCACAAAATTAACTTCATGCGATAACACACAAATTAATTAAGTTTCTTCAACTTAGACACGCTAACAAGTTATATTTACACAATCAACAACTCCACTTAAGCTTAATTCATATGTGTTATACCAATTGAAGTTAGTCTTTAAGTTGGTAAAGTTTTTTCAGTGTCATATTTGATGCCTCTCATCATCTTGGGTTGCCCTATTTACTGAACTTGTCTTGAAGATGAGAGATGTGTATGGACATTTGTGTGTGCGTGTGTGTGTGTCGGCGTGTGCATGGTCAGCAAATAAGGCAACACAAGCAGTGAGTTACAGCGGATGTTACTGTGACAAACAGCAAATATGTATACCAATAAAAACCCATTATAAAAAACATGTCTTATCCACATTTTCTATCAACAAACACATTAAATACACTCTATACTAGATATACATTTAAATACTTTGAGTACAGAAGCGAAGCACTTACCCTCCCACAACACTCTTAATGAATAAAAGCTTCAGCACACTGATTAATCCTGCTTGCTGCTATAGATTAGCAGTCATATATGGCCATCAACACAAGCTGGACAGCAATCTAAAACTGCACCGTTACATCACCCTGTGTGTTGCAGGCCTTGGCGTTCTGTGGGCATCAAGAGCAGGATTAAAAAGTTGGATATGAGATCATACCTATAAATAGACAGTATCCCTCAGCTGTGTATGTTCGATCTGTTTCATAATCTAAAATGCTGCATGACTCACCGAGAGAGGGCAAAACACAAACTCACGAAGAGGCTGGACAAAAAGAGGGCATCTGTAACCAGTCCCAGTGCAACGCAAACACAGAGGAGAACTCATTGAAGTGAGTTCAGATACCTCATGTTTTCATGAATACTTGCAGTATACTGCTGATAATCCAGGGTATTTGATAATACTCAAAGCTTAACTGTCTCCAGTGTCCACTCATGTTGATGTTGGCATCACGGTGTAATGTCTTCCTTCACAGTCGTCACACCTGCATGTCTTCCTGTGGGTTGTTCCGTGATGCTGTCACTCTCCGGCGGCAGCAGTGACAGTTTAGTTTGCTCTTTCCCTCCAGCAGACTGACACACTGGCCTGCTGAAGTGAGCGTGCAGACACAGAGGGCTGAGGCAGCCTTTAGTCACCTCCTGTTACTGTACGGGTTAGGAGACAGGGCTGACCTCTCACGCCCTCAGCAATGTTTTAACTCTCTCACACACACACACAGAATGATATACTGTGAACAGCTCTATGAACCATTGTACAGAGATGCACATAGGGGGACGGCTGTGGCTCAGGAGGTAAAGAGGGTCATCCACTCGCTAGAAGGTCGGTAGTCTGATCCTCAGCTTCTTCAGTCTGCTTTCTGAGGTATACTGAGGCAAGATACTGAACCCTAAATTAACCCTAACGTCTGAAATGATGAAAACACTCCATTTAGAAATGTAAAGAATGAATGTGTGTGTGAAAGGTTGAGTGCTGTGAGGAGCTGTGAGGGTCACATCGTAAATACAGTTCATGTACATGCTGTATAAGTGAATTACATTAGTGAGACTATACTAGACACACAGATGAGAGAAAAACAAACCCTTGCTTGTGATACTGTGCATTCATCTAATTTATTCCTCATTTCATTTGCTGCTTGCGAATCATTTCACAATAAAACACCAGGCTACACAATTATTCACTTAAATTCACCTGTCCCACAGACCGGTAATTATTACAAAGTCATATTATGGTGATGTTTAACATTGTTCACATTAGCAAAACATCAGACTTGAAATATGTCATGCTTAATTACAGGGCAAAGCCCAAATAACAATCGTGTATTTTTATTATTTAACTGAATAAAGACTGTGATATTACCTGAAATCATTTGAATAATCAGATAAGTGTCTGTGTGTCATCCTGTCTGCTATGACTACGATATACTGGATATTATATGTTTAATCTCAGCAGCATGACAGATAACTTACACATTGTTTAAAACATTCTGTCACATGTGAAATCTATGTCATAAACCTAATAATGATGGAGGCTGAAAAAGCACTGCCTGTTTTCTTAAAGTAAAATAATTGTAATTTTGGATTCACTCTTTCAGTGTGAATCATTCCCACACATCAATTTGAAAATCAACCGTGATAGTAGGTCACAATATTTGGTTATATAACCACTCTTAGTGTTGGTCTCCAAACATTTCATCACATCATGGCATACGGAATAAACGATATGAGAGGATGTATCATGGTCCTGGGGCGTCTCACGCATATGTGTGGCCGAAATAATGAGGAGGAAACGGGATCAGCCATCAGGGTCGTCGGTTGGACGCTCGTTCCCGTCTCATCCCACAGCTGCTCAGCTGCTCCTGTCATCCATATTTGCAGCCTCAGTGGACAATTTCCTCAGCTGCAGGGCCTCTCAGTGTGCACAACAACCCATAGATCAAGTGAATTAATTCTGCTATTGTGGCAGCGCACTGGAGATCTAGGTCACACAGTCATGGCTCTGTTTTTTTTTCTCTCTCTGTGGCCACCTAGTCATATCAACATCCTCCTACCCTCCTGCACAATCTGACCTTGACATTCAGGTGATTTTCCACGGAGGTGTGTAGCTCTCTCTCTCTCTTTCTTTATGTGTGTGTGTGTACTTGTACTTTTATATGTGTAAGGGACCATCTTGAGCATAGACCTTACAGAGTGAGGACATATTTGGAAAGTGAGGACATTTTGGCCAGGCCTCACTTTTTCATAGGGTTGTTTGAGGGTAAAGACTTTGTTTTAGGGTTAGAAATAGGTTAGGGTTAGGTATTTAGTTGTGATGGTTACAGTTTGGGGCAGGGGCTGGCAAATGCATTATGCCAATCATTGTCCTCACTAAGACAGAGGTACAAGTGTGTGTGTGTGTGTGAGACAGTATGTTTGTGTGCATGTCTACATGTGTATGGTTTTGTGATTTGTAGGTGCAGCATGAGTCTGAGGAGGAGATGTGTTGGAATGAGCCGCTGTCTATACTTGGGGCTCGCCTGCAGCTACGTGTGCACGACAGGGAGCAAGAAGAGACGGAGAGAGGGAGCACAGGAGTGGATGTTGGACGGTGAGCGGAGTGAGAGAGGCAGAGGGAGGATGACAAAGAAGAGAGTACGGGTGGGAGGGGGAGGATGAGAGGAGGTAAGGTGCAGCGGGGTGGGGGGGGGGGGGGGGGGGGGAGCTGTGACGCACGCTGGCTGGCTGTACGCGCTGCCGATTGGCCGTCGCCGCTGCCAGTCAGAGGAGCTGAGAGTCAGCCACTGCCGGAGGAGCAGATTATGAAGCGGAGCTCGACCAGCGGCAGTCTCCTCTCACTGTCTCCATGGCTGCACACGCGCTCCTCCTCTGCTCCCTCGCCTTGCTGTCCGCTCTCAGCCGGCCCGGCCTCTCCTTCTCTGACGAGGAGCTGCAGCCGGGACTCATCTATGAAGAAGTGCCTGAAATCCTGGACAGGAGGTAAATCCATCCTCTCTCTCTCTCTGTGTCTCTTTCTCTCTCCACGGGCTGTGAACAGAGGAGGGGGGTGTAGGGGGAGGGGTACAGGGAGATGCATGCAGGGATGCTGGGATGCTGATGTGCTCTCTTGAGGAGGAGGAGAAGGTGGTGGTGGGGGGGGGGGGGGGGGGGGTCTTTCTGTCTCTACCTCCCTTCCATTCTCCCCATCTCACCTTGGGGTTGTGTCCCAAACCGTGGATGCAGGCAGCCCCCGCCCCCCCAGTGTGTCAGAGGCAGGCTTTGTTTGTCTCAGTCTTGGGGACTGCATCAGACGCTGCTCATCGATCACGGATGTTGTCTCTGCACAGTGTAGTGCTGGTCTGGCAGCGGCCAGCGGGCCTGCAGGAGAGGTGCAGGAGAGGAGAGGAGGTAAACAAGGTTGGGACGTGGAGGAGAGTAGAGGATGCATCAGGGATGGTCTGCTGGGGTCTGTTTACTGATGCAGTCATTGAGAGAGGGAGAGGGAGAAAGGAGAGGAGAGGGGGGGG